GGTTTAGGGGTTTAAAGGTTTAAGGGTTTAGGGGTTTAAGGGTTTAAGGTGGAGACTGAGAGTTAGCAGGGAATGAGGCAATATATATTATATACATACATGTAGCTGGCCCCCCCTCCAAGATCTACGTTTAGAGTAGTCTATTGAGGATTTCTGTGCTATTTCTCATTTGATTTTAAAAGGACGTCATATAGAGGAAAATCCTTACAAAACTTCAAATCCAGGAATTGAGGATAGGATTTCTGTGTCATTTATACTTAAATTGTAAAAAGGAATTCAGATAGAGGAAAATCCTTTCAAAAATTTGAAATCCAGGAATTGAGGATTTCTGTGTTATTTCTATTTAAATCTTAAAAGGAATTCACATATATATATATACACATGTATCTATACATGTCTATATATATATATACTTAGGAACTATATTGGGATAATGGAAAATACAATGGAAACTACTACAATGGGTTTAGGGTTGGGTGGGGACGGGAGGAATTTGGGAGGGTCCAATGCGTTTGGATTCACGATTTAGGAATTAGGGTTTAGGGTTTAGGGCTGAGGGTTTGGGAGGGTTAAGGTTTAGGGGTTAGGGTGGAGGATGAGGGTTTAAGGATGAGGGTTTAGGATTTAGGGTTTGGGGTTTTCGGGTTTTAAGGTTTTAGGGTTTTAGGGTTGGGATTAGGGTTGCGGGATGAGGGTTCAGGGCTTCGGGATCAGTAGTCAAGGCGTAGGGTTTGTGGCTGAGGGCTGGGGATTCAGTCAACTTTTTTTGTGTGCACCTGGCTGCATGCGAGTGTAGTCATTGGCCAGATTGTGAGAGTCAGCCCCGTCCCTTCAGCAACCCGCGTAGGGAAAGATTGTCTTCCCAGTAGGAGAAAGCCCAAGTTAGAAGGAAAACCAGGTTAGATGAACAACATGAATAATGACATCGCAAGTTGGATAGTATGTTTGAACCGCGGAACATCCTATAGTCCGTATAGTCGCCTTTCACGCTTGTGTGTTTTGGGATACACAAGCCGAGGCCGCACCATCCGAGCCTTTTTGTTTGGGGAAAAGAGAACTCAAATTCGGCTAAGCCGTTCATGCGGTTTAGGGTTTAGGGTTTAGGGTGGTAACCGGATCCCGCACCCCACAACACTGAGGATAGATTCAGGGTGCTGATATTGGGGGTTGGGTTATCAAAGCCCTCTGAATGATCAATCTTGGTCACCCCCACAACTACATCTCCCCCCAGGTAGACTATCTTCCATGAGATATGGGAACGCACTTGGTTCCATGTGTGCGTGTGAGAGTAGCAAGTCAGAGTGAGCGTTTAAGGTACCCTTAACCTTAAGCCTTAAGCCCTATAGTTGCAAAACCCCCATTGTACGTGCAGTGCACGTGGGACCCAAGCCTAAGCCGTCATCATGCTGATGCGCGAGCCAAGCTGCAAAGAAGCTACAGGCCTTGGTATTTAGGGTTTGGGGTTCAGGGTTGAGGGTTCAGGGTTTAGGGTTCAGGGTTTAGGGTCAAAGGTTAAGGGTTGAGGGCTGAAGGTTAAGGGTTCAGGGTTGAGGGTTTAAGGTTTGGGCTTTGGGCTTTAGGCTTTAGCAAGGGTTTAGGGTTACTGGACGTAGGGTTCCTCCAGAATCTTTGGAATATACCCTGAACCCTAAACCGGTGAGGGACTGTATGGCGTGCCCGTTTGTGGGACCATGAACGAAAGCCATAAGCCATCTGATACCTTGAAGATGCACCATTGACAGAGGTTAAGGGTTCAGGGTTTCGGGTTCAGGGTTTGGGAGGCCCTGAACCCCAGGCCTTTTTTATTGCAATGGACCAAGAAACCATTCTCGCCACTTCAGCCCTGATCCGGAAATATTCAAATCGTACATACTATCTGGACCCTTAAGCACCGTCTTTAGAACAAAAATGCCCGCAAATAGGACCAACATAGACCCCATATATGGGTATGTTGGGGGGGCGTCCTGGAAATACATCCTACGCTGAATACTACAGTCCTGTATGATGCTGAGTACGTTAAACCGGGAAACTGGGGCATTTTAGAATGTTAAGTCCGGGCAATTAAAGCGACCTCAACCGACCTCACCCTAACTGATGGTTTATATAGAGGATACCACCAAAATCTAAAGTGGGAATTGAAAGTAGTCAATATTAAGTTCATGCAAGGGTTCGAGTATCATCAAAGGTGAGCCGCACAAACAGTCGGCGTAAGTCCTTGGTCATTGACCCCCTCGGCGGGCCACTTGGATTGAATTTATGATTTAGGCTGTAGGGCTTAGGGTTTAGGGTGCTACCTCAAGGTTCATGGGGTTTTAAAAGGGCTTGGTGCTTAGGAGTTTACGGCTTAGGGTTTAGGTTCGGGGTTCATGGGTTGAGGAACTGAGGTGTAGCATGTAGAGCTTTTTTTGTTGTGCAGCTAGGTTCGGGTCTTGGGTAGCAAAATTCGTGGCATGATGTGGCATGGTTTGGACAGTTTTGGCTGTAACATAGTGGGCTTTGAAGCCCACGAATTTCTCATAACTCAACATGAACCTGGAAGCATGGTTTATAGTGTGTTGCGTTCACCAAGGAACCCACAGACTATTATGACCCCTGGTTCAAGTCTTAGTGTTGTAGCATGTGGTCCATGCGGCTAGGGATTTACGCACGTGGTTGTCATACTGGGTCAGGCTAGTGTCAAGACGGGGGGTTGGTGGTACCTGGTGTTAAACCCTCAACCTAATTGGGTAGCAATTCTGATTACGGGCCCTTCTAACCCATTTTAACCATAGCTACTAACCAGTTAGCTTTTTCCCAACCCATCTAAGCAGGTCAGGTTCCAGTGTCGGGGTTTAGGGTTTAGAGTGTAGGGTTTAGGGCAGTCAACTAGAAGGGAAACAGAAAGCAGTGAGCGCAGCTAATGTAGATGCCGTAATATCTCCTAATGCTATTCCCTTCTTGCTCTCATGCGTGTGAGTACAGTATGATGTAGCCAAACCCTATTATTTGTACTTGCGGCCCTAAACCCGAAACCCCTAAAACCTAAACCCCGAAATACACTGAAACATTTCACCGCCCCACACCTTCAAACCTGCATGGTGGGAATGTCCCGGTCCTTCTGAAGATTAGGATGTCCTTTGCCATGTCATAAACTCCGAACAAAACCGATCTAACCTCCTCTAATCGTTCAAAAGGGCTTGGAGGGTCAGGTAGGAACACTAAGTATACTTATCACGTCCATAAGCCGCATAAATAAAAAAAACTCATTTGAGCGTGCCTTCCTTGCCGGATTCTGGAAGTTCTTTGTCCCATAGCCCCATTTCCCTACAGCTCAGTGGAAATTGTCATCTCATTAACAGTCCAAACCCATGAAGCTGTACTTAAAGGATCAGGTATTCTTTCAATCACTACTTGCCGCATACTGTTGATGGAGGAAATCTTTTACCACCTAGATCCCATAATCCCCATGACTTACAGTATAGTTTGGAGTGCAAGCTGGGCAAGATTTCCTCCATCGACCGCAGCAGTGCTAGCTATCCCCACTGTAAACTACTTGCGAAGCCCGTTTGACCTTCCGAGAAGGTAATTGCAACAACAGGTCACTGTAGTAGTTGGGCAGTTGGGCCCCCGTTCTCCAGGCCTGCCTTTAGGCGTCAACAGCCTGAAAACTTGTCAAAAGTAGTAGAACTTAGGCTTCGCCGCCACACAACTTCAGATTTGGCTCCCTACATGTTCTTACGGGACGGGGGCTGAACCTAAAAAATAGAGCCTCGGGGACCTGAAGCTTCAGCCCTGTGGTTAAGATCCCAAAGAAGCTGAGCCCATGTTCTTCCCCGCCAAAAGGATGTCAATAACCCGTGCGCGGTCTGCTCAAGCATTTGATGACAACATGGAGGAGCAGGACATGTTGGGCTCCCTTAGCCACCCCCCTTTGCTAACCTCCTTGGATTAAATCCAAATCAAATTTGTCCAACCCGAATCAAGAGGGGGGGGGGTGGGCGAGGCAGTAGAGAGGGTCGGGCTAGGGAATCCATGGTGATTCGAACGCCCTAAAATGGTCGAGACAAGCTGAATTCTACATACTTTGGGGTCCAGGTAGGTTTTTGGCTTCCTGTAAGGGTTTTACCCTTCGGGGCCCAGTACCTCCAGGTAATTGCCATGCAGTGGTACCTGGCTCCCGCAACACTGTTTCGTCTAGGGCTTTGGGTTTAGAAATAATATCAATAACTCGAATACTGATAAACAGAGCTGACGCACTCGTCATACTACTAATTATAGTAATATCGGTAATACTAGTAATAGTTGTGGTGCATATCATCTGCTGGAGGAACAGGATGTCGGCACTTGTCGTTCGCATCTTTCACATTGTCAGTACCTATCGTAAAAATTGTCCGACGTTCCGTCACTTGTGGAAGCTCCATGAATCTAAAGAAGAAGCATCCTAGACGTATCATTTGACTACAACTGGGCCCGAATTTTGAGGGGCTCGGGTTTCACAAATCCTCTAGGCTCTATACAAACCCTGAGCAACAGATAAGCCCTAAACCCTAGGAAGACCCTAAGCCCTGAACTCAAAGGCTAGCACAATCCCCTTTTGAATGCGCTTTACGGGCCTAGATGATTACAGTTATTATGGAGTTAGGTCGTAAACCCTGAGCCCTAAACCTTAAACTCCACCCTGAACACTAAACACTGAGCCCCAAACGCTGAGCCCTAAAACCCTAAACCCTGAACCCTAAATCCTTATCCCTAAACCCTGAACCCTAGACCCTTAACTCTTAACCTCTCTTTCACATAGTAATTTAAGCCCTACATAAGGTTCAAGGCTTGGAGTTTTGGGTTCAGGGCTTAGAGTCAGGACATAGAGTTTAGGGTTCATGGCTTAGAGTTGAGGGGTTCAGGGCTTAGAGCTCAGGGTTCAGGATTTACACGGCTTAGAGTCTAGGGGTTCAGGGCTTAGAGCTTAGGGTTCAGAGTTTGGCTTAGAGTTTAGGGGTTCAGGGCTTAGAGCTTAGGGTTCAGGATTTCGATTTTAGAGTGTAGGTTTCTTAATGATGTGGGACCCCATGGGCGGGTGGGGGTAATTTTCTGTTGTTGGATAACGCTGCTCAAGAAGTGAACCCTAAACCCTAAACCCTGAATGCATGGACCTGACATGCTGAACCCTAAACCCTTAACTCTAGACCCTGCGGGGACTCATGCTTCAAGCCTGAAGCCTCGCGCGGCACAATCTCGGATCCCTACCCTAAACCTTATATGAGCTATAGTCTAAACTCCTTACAGGGGTTGGATTTAGGGTTAAGGGTTTAGGATTTAGGTTTAGGACTTAGGACTTAGTGTTTAGGATTTAGGATTCAGGTTTTAGGGTTTATAGTCTAATCCTTACTTATATAGGGGACTACTATAGGGGTTATTAGGGGGGATACTAGGAGTTTGGATTATGGCTCATATTTTTCTATTCTATACCTACATGGACCCTTGGGGTATATATGAGTATTCTTACTTGGACGCCAGAAGTAGGTAAACTAATAGCCCCAAAACCCCTGACCATAGCCCAAAGGCATTATTCTACATACTTTCAGGGGTTCAGGTAAGCCCCTAAATCCTAAATTCTAAATCCCTAACCCTTAATCCCTAAACCCGAGTTTAATCTGTGGAGGATGGTGCGGGTCTGGCGCGCCTGAGTAGCAAGCTTCGGGTTAAGGCTTTTGGGCCCAGGGTTTTAGGGTTGAGGGTTTAGGATTCAGGGTTTAGGATTTCGGGCTTAGGATTTAGCGTGTACTTGAACCCTATTGTTTTACTTCTGGGGTCCAGGAAAGATTTAGGGTTTAAGGCTTGGGCGGTAGGGTTTGGATGTTGAGGATTCAGGATCTACTGCATCAGGTGAAGGCAGGTTTAGGCTTTAGGACTTAGGGTTTAGGTCGTGTAGGGTTCGGGGTTGAGACTTTAGGGTTTGGGAGTAAGCCTTGAGGCTTTAGGGCTTTGGGGCTTTGGGTTTAGGAGGGTGAGTAATGTATGTATGTCTGTCTGTATGTGTTGTAGTTTATGAGTAAGTATGTATGTTCGTATGTAGGTCTGTAGTATGTACAGATGTGTATATACAAATCACACACGTGATGCGCCCCAATCGTATCATCATGATTGCATCAGGCGCTGTATCCCATTTTGGATTGGGATCGTCGGTGTTACACCTTCAACCCTGAACCTAATCCCTGAGCCCTACATGCGGGCTTCCCCTAAATCCCAAACCTCTAAACCCTAAACCCTACATCCCAAACCCCAAGCCCTAAATCCCAAACCCCTAAACCCTTACGTAAACTCCTATATTACCTAAACTTCCGGAGGGCTTTTGAGTTGAAAGACGACAATGTTTCTGTGCATCAACGCCGCCCTTTTGTTTGGACAAGGTAGAGTCAAACCAACTGACAGGCTTTAAGGTTTAGGGTTTGGGGCTTATGGTT